CCCCAAAACCCCAAAACCCCAAAACCCCGGAATTGTGAGTTTGTGTTGAGAGAGGTTTAATTGGAAATTGATGAATTAGGAAAGATATGAGGAGCTTAGGCAGATTTGGTGCATGGAGAGGAGTAGGAGAGGGGGTTAGAAGGAAGATTAGGAGGGTTAGGACTGGGTTTGTGGAGGTTTAGATAGTGGTCGATAACTGAGAGTATCTCTTTGGGTGTATAGTCGAAGTTTAGTTTGGCCTTTTTGCCTTGCATAGCAATTGCATGGAGGTCGTAGGCACGAGCAGCTTCGATTTCGTCTCAGAAGGTACCGATGTACTTCTTGGCGCGGTTAACATTGATCAAGGCTTGCCAATGGATGTTGTTCTTTGATACTCCGATGTATTTAGATCTTCTTCCAAGGTATTTGTCTGTAATTTGTTTTGTGTTTTTGATTCTTTTGGTTAATCCAGGTACTTTATATCTGAGCAAATACTTTCTAAATTGAATAAGTCTTGGATTTATATTTAGTTTTGAAGAACGGCTTTCTCTCTTAATGATTTCATCTTCAAGTTTAGCTATTTCTTTGTTAACTCCAATTCTATCCTCATTCTGATTCATCCTAGGTTGTGCCACCTCATTCACCAACTCGACACTCTCTTTTTGATTATTTTCTCTCTTCCTAAGTCTTTTGGTTTTCTTTTGTAGTGATTTCCTGTACATAGAATATGAGTTTTAGAACAAAATGAACTTTTTCGCAAACACTATGAGTACTCTTACCTAGAGCCATTGGCTTCTTTGTGCTTAATAAAATTTACTTTTCATTGTTCTACAAAAGGAACTTGACAAGCCTGAGTCTGTGCGATCAAGTGGTCTCCAAGACATACTCAATATGATGTACTCAGATGGTGAATCAGCGTGGCATAGTCCCACATTGGAAGGAGCATTAAGCTTGAGTCTCAAAATTTGGTAGTTAAGTCCATCTTAAAAATTATTATCAAATAATTTTGATTCTTTTATATATTCGTTCTCCCATGTAGCAAAAGATTTTTCAGCTAAAAATTTCGCATGTAGAAAATTTCGGAGAGCTCTTAAGAGAAAACTAACAATATTTTGAATTTTTTCAACAGATTTCAATGGATATATATGGATTGAAGAGCTGCAAGGAGCTTTCCCTCTTTTAAGTCTTACGCTAAGTCCTTGCTGCTACAATTCTCTAAGAATTAAGAATAAGATCCAACAAGTTTAGTAGACTACAACTAGATTTTCATCAAATTTAGTTCAAATTCACTCTATCTACTCATCTGTTTAAGGTAATTTTTTTGAGTGTGAATACTCTGATTCCAAAAAGCCCATGTTTGATATCTATGGAATGCCAATGTATTTGGGATGGAAAAATCTATGTTAATTATTTTACAAAATATAGACAATATGGTGAACTCTGAAGTCTTCAGACTTATAGCCAAATCTATAATTTAGAGATATTTAAGAATTTGAATGGATCAGCTCCATATTTCCAGAAATTTTAGGATTTTAGCATTATTTTTGAGTTCAAAGTCATAAAATATCCAGAAAACATTTTTAGTCGAAATTAGGTGAAGTCTGTATTAAATTTCCACAATCATATCCTGAATTAAATATCTTTTTTGCCAAAATTTTTCGTGAGATAGCCTATAATTAGTTCATTCTCATACTCAAGGAAGAGTATAAATAAGATCAAGATGCTGGAGGTTGGAATACTTCTAAAATATTAATCTTAAGTCTGCAATTTTTTTGGTCGATTAATAATATCTACCATGCTTACCTTTTCTACTAAATTTGTGGCTAAATTTAACCTTATTGGAGCCCAATCTCTTAGACTACCATATTTTAGCAAGTCTGGAGAAGGTAATGAAGCTAATGTAAGCAGCCTAGCTTTTGTCAGTTTCTCTTTTGTTAATCTTCTGAGGTTGGAAATGCAACCATTGACACCATGTGAGTGTTAACCTTAAGATTAAATGGTATGATAGCGTGATCAAAATTATATTTTATTAGGCCTAGATGAAGTATCTCTTCATAGTATAGCACTGGGAGCATTCTCTGCTTAGTATTTGTAACCACCAAAAGAAGGAATTCAGCTTCAGAAATTTCATCTCTGGTTATATATTTTTAGCAAATTTTGTCAAAAATTGCGGAAATTTTTAGTGAAGCAGCCTAAGCATAAATTGAGAGACATTAGGCTTTAAAATAACACCAGATCTGATTTTTGGGTTGATATTAAATATTTTGCTTAAAGACACCAGACATCTCCTGAATTTACTCTCATAAGGATTATTGATGACCAAGTGCCCCTATTGGATCTTCAAAAGATATGGTAAGAATCTTTTCAGACAATATCTCTGAATTACTCTGATGATCTTCTTTCAAGCTAAGCAAACTGATATATGGAAGGATAAGATCCTCGCTTTGATCTTCCATTTTAGATCTTTAATGATATAATTGATAAATAAGGACTAGTCTGAACTAATAAGCCTTCTAAATGATACCAAGAGAGTTCCTACGCTGAACTAAAGTATCTATCAGCTCTGAAGCATCTTTTGATGCATCTCCAGGCTCTATTTTCAACAAAAATATTTAACAGAAGGGAATACTTAACGAAATATGAAAGATTTTTCATAATTTATTATGAATAACTTTACCATCAGCACCCTTTCACTAAAAATTTAAGAAGGCCAAGTCCTGGCTTATGGGGTACCTCAAAAGTATGAATTCCTCGAAACTTAGAGTTGACTAATACCTTGAGCTTCTGAATTCCAGAAGCCATTTTTGTTAAAAATTAAAATTTAATTAATTTTTAATTTGTTAAATCTTTCAAAGAAAATGTTGACGAGTAATCTTGAAGAAGGAGATTTCTGATTTATCAGTAAGGCTAGAACAAGGGAATAATGAAATAGTTGTCAGAAGTGTTAGTCAGATAGTACTTCAGGGCTTTCAAGCACTCTTGTTTGCTTTAAGAATTCATCTCAGTGTCGATGAGTTATGAATACTGAATGAGGAAAAATAGGATCAAAGGCTTATTTTTAGGAATTTAAGCAAGGTTTTGACCAAAAGAAGAAGTTTTAATTCTTCAAGACATTTTTAGAAAGCTATCTTCAGGTTTTATTCATCCTCATAGTTGCTAATATCACATTGGGTAAAAATTGTTGTCCAAAAATGTGTAATGTTCAACTATGAGGCTTTGAGAAACTTATCAAGATCTTGTTTCTAAGCTTGAAAATAATTAATTAAGACTTTTAAAAATCCTTTAAGTAATCTTTCTAATGTTAAAAAACTCTACAAGAACTAAAAATCATTTATTTTGTTTGGAATGATAAAATTAACGATTTTAGTAAAATCATTAAAAATCCTCACCATTTTTGGAGCTTTGATAAAAAATATAACTAGCTTCCTAAATTACATCTCTTTAGAAATTAGTTGCTTTTTCCGAGCATATATAATCTCTACCAACTCGAGAAAGCTTAATCCTAATCTTTATAGCTTTAAAATCTCTACTATCTCCTATTTCATAAATTTTCAGAGTAGATCTACTGTTTTCACCTAAATTTGTCAAAGACTAAGCCTAATTTAGATATTCAAAATCCTGTGACCTGCCATACATCGAGGATACTAACCCTCATTGGGCACCACTAGTAAATTATCATAAATTTAGCCAATGATTTCACAAACTTGGCTCCCCAAAACTCTCTCAGAAACCAATTGAACCAAAAATGTTCATCGAAAGGCTATCCAGATCGATGAGGCAGGTCCTGAACAAAGTTTGGTCCTTTAATTACTACCCATTCAATTCTATGACATAAATCTGGGGTTTTGGGGTTTTGGGGTTTTGGGGTTTTGGGG